AAGCTGCCAAAGTCGCCGGCATATTTGCATGAAGCAGCCAAAGCTAATGTTTGTAATGCTATGCCAAGAGCAAACATTAGCCAGATAGCTGGCAAAAGAGTGTGCGCACAGAGTGTGAGGGTGGCTTCTTTTTTTTGGGGAGTCGGGGGTGGTGAGCCGTTGAGGGAATCTTGGTGGTAGCAGTTGGGCTGACTGGTTGACTGTTAGACTGTCTGACTGCCTGACACAGGCCAAACATTTTTGAAGGCTTGCATTGACGTTTTGGATTTATTCTCAGCACAGTAAACCCCCAAAATATAACCCCACCAATGTAATAAGCTCGCACAAAACGGGGTGGTAGCCGTTTGGAGGGTGGCACTGCAAAAAAATATGCTTACAGCTTCCCCCGCGGCCCGTCCATAAGTCAAATATGCTGGCAAAGTTATTGATGGGCACACGCAGCAAGACAAATTTACTTAAATCTTTTTAATGTTTGCACATTTTTTACACTTTTCGTTATTTTTTCAATATTTATAAATATGTTTGCCGTTCAACTTTTACTTTTTTTTTGTTGCTTTTTTGCCTTTTGCTTTCTACTTTGCTGTTATGCGTTGATTAGCCGCATAGATCATTTTGACAGGAGCATATTTTAAAGGACTGTGCATGACATAGGGGCAAATTAATGAAAAATAGAAACAAAAACAAAAATCTGCCAGCTGTCGACTGACTTAAAAAGGGACACAAGAACCTAATCCCAGAGTAGACTAATAAAATTATATTTGAAGGCTATTAAAATTTGCTACTTAAAAAGCTTAATATAAGGCAGTTTCGTATGCACAATTAAATCTATGAAACTATTATTAAAAATATATATATTCAGTATACAATAGGATAAATAAATAAAAGTCAAAGATTAGCTGAACATTATCATAAAAGCATAATAAACTAAGGCTTGGCAGTTATGATATCAAAATGCATTAGCTGACTTTAAGTTTTTCAATTTAAAAAGTAAATAGCGGGCAATTAGCTTGAAAACATGCCTGGTTACGGTCTGAAAATTGTATACCATCACACACACACACACACACACACATACACAGGCATGCACACTTGGCAGGCAGTTTTTCCCGTCTGTCACCTGGCATCAATGGCCCAATGGAGGCAACGCCGCCATTGCCGCTGGCGTAGGGCCACTGCCACTGAACAATGCAACCAACCGGGCAGCAGCTGCAGCAGCAGCAGCAACAGCAACAGGATACGGTTGGGGGCAGGTGGAACAGCAGCCGTGTGTTGAGCCACCATTGTGCCTTTTGAGCGGCTCATTGTGGGCAATTTATTTATTTTTTTTTTTTTTATTATTTGCAGCCAGAGAGTTGTGTTGTATTGTTGGGCGAGGCGGCGTGCGGTGTGCGCATGCAGCGTCACGACGCGTCGTCGATACCGTTAACCGACTTGTTGCCGTGACGTTGCCACTTGGCGTTGAGTCCGTGCGCCACTTGCCTTGTAATGAGTTTGCCATTTTATTTTATTTATTTGCCGAGCGCTCTTTGTTTCGACGCCTCACTGAAAAAAAAGGCGCATTTAAAATTAAAATTAAATAATGATTTAAGTGCGCCACGAGGCTTTTGTCTGTTTTGCCACATCCAGCCAAGCAACTACAGCTGACAATAATATGCTGCAGCCTTTTGTCAGGTTAGCGTTTTTAAGAGGGGGTTTCAAATACAGAATTATAAAAGCAAAAAATATTCTGCTGTCATGTAATTATAATAATAGATAGTTTATCTCTAGCTCGCATTAAGTTGAATATAAAAAATAAAAAACAAAAGCTTGAAAATATAAAATGAAACAATCAGTAATCGGAAGAATATCAATAAATTGTTTAGCAACAACTTTCTATAATTTAAATTTGTTAAATTTGATTTATTGTTAAAGCTTTAAATTAAAATTTAACAGTGATTTAAGGCATGAAATAAATCTACAACTAACATTTTCTCACAGAGCTTTCAAACTGTTGATTGAGTAGTATTCAGATTTGGTCTAGTTTGACGCGACTATTTGCTTGACTAAAATATAGAAAGCTCTATTGCCTGACATTTGCATAGGGCCAGGGGGAGAGAGAAGAGAAGGGCACAGTTCTAAATACGGACAGATGAAGAGTTGCTGTTGTTTTTGTTGTTGGCCAAAGGCAGAAATCAAATTACAATTTCAATATGCAATGCGTACAAATGTCTGTTGGTGGCAGTTTGGCTTTCAATGTGAACATGAAATTTCAAGTTGATGTTTAGAGTTGTATGTGTGGGTGTGTGTGCGTGTGTGTGTGTGTGTGTGTGTGTGTGTGTGGGTGTGTTTGTGCCTGGCTGGCGGGCACATTTTGATTTGAGTCCACAAAATGGATTTCTTGCTGCTGCAGCTAGCTCTTTGGTTGTTGTTGTGTGTGTTTGTGTGTGCGTTGTGTGTTCGACTGTCACTTAATGGAATTTATCACATTTTAACTGTGTGACAGAACTGACAATGTCAGCAGTGGCAGTCAGCATTGAATGTTTGTTGTTGTGTGTGTGTGTGTGTGTGTGTGTGCGGGTGTTGGTTTGAAACACCCTAGTCCAGTTGCATGGGCTGCTGTCCTGTCATTTGCTTGGTTTGTCAGGCATGCATTTGAAATGTTATTCAATATGTGCAAGTGCAAGTTTCGCATATTGAATGCTTCCAAGTGTCACCGTCATTGATTCCAACAATAAATAATGCAAAGGCCAACAACTGTGTGTGTGTGTGTGTGTGTGTGAGTGTGTGAGTGTCGGGCACTATTTACTTATTGAAATGCAAACATCTTTCTCGAGACTCGCTCGGCAATTAAAAGCCTACTCATCAGGCGGCTATTAAGTTAATGTAAATGCAGCCAACTATCAAATGAGACCTGCTGGAAATTCAAAACTTGATGGCAACTTAACGATTGCGACGATTATTAAATTAAAACGTGCAAGCAACTTTTACCAAAGCACAAACTTTTTCTTCACAGTTTTGTTTCTGAAATTCCTTTTTTACATATATTTTTCTTCCATTCTTTTTTTTTTTGCTTGTGCAGTTTAACGCATAATTTATTATGCGAGGCAAAAATCTGCTGCTGCAAATTTGTCACATGGGATAAATAATAAGAAGAAACTTGCTTAACTTTTACACAGCATGTGCCACTGGGCACATGGGAGTTAGAGCAGCAACGACAACTACAACAACTACAGCTCGGCTGCTTGGGGATTTGCGACTGAGCTTGTGAGCTGCAGATTACTCATACGCCATGTGCTGCCAGCGAGCATTCAAAATGTATATGAGAGTGTGACCAGGCCAGCGTGAAATTAGTAGTAAGCACTTTAAGCGGATCGCAGGCAGTTTGTCATAAGTGCGAATGTGCCAAGGATGCATACTAAACAGTGCTGTATAACTTAACTTAGTTAGATGCAAACGGAAAGTATCAGCCAACAATAGTAATACTCTAGAAATGTTTTTGCTTTCGTTTTTATTCATAATTGTAACACAATGTGAAATGTTAAGTATTTGTTTCATTTTTCTTTGACTTTCTAAATTATATGTGTTAGATGTGGTAAATTTTATCTACTCTTAAACTTATCTATTTTATTTGTTACTCAAACTTATGGCAAATCTCAAATTGAATCGAGCTTTTGTTGTAAAATTGTCTGTAATAATTTAGTACAGATTTAGCCCGACACATTTGACATATATAAATTCCGCTTTAAGTTGAAGTTGGAAGTTGCATGTGAATTATATCCGCCTGTCCTTTGCCCCGCTGCCATCAGCAGTCACTTTCACTTAGTTATTGTGTTTATATTGCATTTTAATGGACTAGCAGCTGGTAGAGCATCGCATGGGCTGCCTTTGGTCTTATCACCGAACCGAAAAAAACCCACTAAATATGTCAAAATAAAGGCAAATTTATACACAAACTGATAAACAAAATAAAGAAGAAGTAGAGACAACATAAAAAAAAAAAAAAAAAATACTTGTAAAAAATAAAGACTTTTTGGGGCTGGCGGCAATGTTGCAACAAAAATGCTATCTTGACACTGTCATCTCTTGAGCTGGGAAATTGCCGGTGCCGTTGCCATTGCCATTGCCATTGAAATTGGCCCAGCTACAGTCTTGAGACTGTTTGTTGTTGGCTTTGGCACGCCTATCAGTGGAATTGAATCAAATTACCTTGTAATCTTAACCTTAAGGTTATTTGCCGCTTGCCGCAAAACGCTTTGTGCCCTGCGTTTAGTTACTATTCGAGTGGGCACCCAGACCCCAGACCCCAGACCCTACACCCCGGTCTCCATTCGCCCACTTCAGCAATACCCATCCCTTAAGTTGACTTGGCAACATTTGACTCTCGCATTACACAGAATCGTGTTCGTGTTGCACCTTTAACACTTGTTTTGTTGGGAGGGGTGTGGTGCTGTTGGTGGATTGGCATTAGAAGGAAATATAAATGGAAATCTGGCATTACGTCTTATCACGATTGCAAAGTTTAAGTGACTTTTCTGCAAGTGCAAAGCGATAGCTTCGCTGCATAGATCTCTCATTGTTGTTGCTGTTGTTGCTGTTGTTGTTGTTGTTGTGGCACTTTGAAAATGTAGCAAGTCAATCAATGTTCTTGGGTGAAGAGAGAGATAGATAGAGAGCGGGTGTGTGCGGATGCTTGTGGCAGCTCTTGGGTAAGTCAAAGTTAGTTAAATTTCGATTAGGCGACTGAATCTAAAGCTCTTAACTTGAAGTTTTCCCTCTGACAAGGTGAAAGCTGAGACTTAACGTGCTGTTAATAAGTTGGCTGGAAATGTTTTGAGCCACGTTAAGTTAAGAGCCCAAGTATCTTATACAACTTTATAAAATTGCTTTGTTGATTTATTATGTAAATTAAAAGATTCAATTCAAGTAACCCACTTACTTTTGATTTTTTTTAAGTTAAGTGTATCCACTCCCGATTTCGATTTTGGTTTTCTACTAAAAAACTTATAAATATCATTAACGAATATTGTTTACATTGCATATATTATAGGAATCCGTTACCAAAATGTTATTTTATAGTTGTTACTATGCACCTCGGCCTACGCTCACTCAGTCAAATCGTAAAGCGTTTTCAACATTTCCGGCACAGAATTATCCCATTTGGCCTGGAATACATTTGCCGCACATGGTGTACTCATATCGTATTTCTGTGTAAATTTCTCCACATCAAAATTGCTGTGATCCACGGAACTCTTTAGCTCCATTTTCTGCTCGTCAAAGTCCAGTTTATCGGATTGGTGATAGACGAGAGCCACAAAACGACAGAGACCGCTATCCTTGAGCGGAATTGGGCCAAAATACTCGGATAGCAGTTGACCTTTAGACACATCCGTACCGGGCACATTTACCACCAGCCAGTGGATCCAGGAGCGATATATGGGTAACTCACGACTGGGAGCATCGGGACTAATCATCATGATCGTATAATAGGATCCCTCATCGGCACTCCACTCGAGCTCAGGCTGAAGTTTCAGTTCGGTCGGGGTGTATGTTTCGCCCTCAATGATCTCAACGCCATTTTCAAAGCGCATCTAAAATGTGGGAAGAGTTATGGCCGGATCTTAAGAGCATAAAATACTCACCTTAAGCAGCTGCTGCGGCGGTTCTTTGAACACCTCTGGTATCACACCCATTTCCTTCAGGACGCGCACCACATTCAGTTCGTCCTGGTCGGCCTTAGTCTGGCCCAAAAACAACACCAAAACGCACAACAATAAACCGTAGTGTGAATTCATTGCAAAGCTATTGACTACTGGCTGAAAGCCTCAAGCTTTTATAGAACCAAATCAATATTTGTCTACAAATAATCGTCGACTCGCAATTGTCAATGCAAATATAATTAAGAAAATTGCGCGAGCAATTTGCAATAATTTATGAAACCCGTGCAAATATTTGCATATTATTTTGAATACATATTTATTTGTGCAATTTCTATAATTTGAGCAGCTATTGTAGCTGCACAAATTAAATGAAATTAAGCCTCGACATGATATATGTGCAATAGCTGTTTATTTAATTTGTCGGCATTTACCATATACCTAAAGGCCTCAATTGCCACACTACATCAATTTAAAAGCGCTTTTTTATAGATTCCGAGTATGTAAACAAAATATATATTATTTTTAAGTCGCCTAAGACCTCATTAGCATCACTAGCTGAGTCTATATAGCCAAGTTCGTCTGTCTGCCTATTTCTATGTGAACTATGCTGCAAAGCTTTCTTAATAAAACTGAAAAGGCATCCTTCGAATCAGACCATTATACTCATTATAGTAATCGGTCAAAACATGAGTTCTTGCTTGACAAATGTTGTTATTTACAAAGAAATAAATGGAATTATTAATAGCATTTTTAGGCTTATGGTGTAAGTTAGATCTTAGTACCTCAACTCCGATCATCCAGGGTATATTTTCTTCGGCATGCCAAAGATACTTTTTGATACATTTTGTCTTATTTTTAATAACTATACCATTTTCTAGATACATATTAAAAGAAAAACATTTCATCTATTTTATTATCAAATATTTTCTTTTATGCTTATTATGAAAAACTTGGTAACTTGGAGCATTTGCATTCGCACCGCTGACGCATTTGCCTGCGAAGTAAAAACATACTGTCCAGCGTTATACTTAATTTGCGAAAACTGCGCTTTTTTTTTAGCCTGTAAATGCATGGATGATGCGAAAACAAATAAGCACTGAAAATGCTCAGAAGTCAAAAGAGGAATTGTTGCACCAGAGCTGTGGCAGCTTCCACATGGCAACATGTGTGTCTAATGTGTGCACATTAGCAAAACAAATGCAGTCGAGCTGACTGAAGAATGGATAGGACGATGGAGATGGAGGTTGGGGAATTCTGGAGATGAGCCTGGGCAAAGGAGTCAGCAGCTTGTCGGGCTATGCGAAACCAGCGCCACTCAAGCAAACGAACGCACTTAATTTATGCAATTTGGTTAACAACGTTAAAATTGTAGACGAGCAGTGGCGCAGCGAGGAAGCGGACGGGTAAAGTGGCAACATAGACTGGAAGACACACTCGGAAATATTTTGGTGTTAAGGAGACAGAGATTTCCTGAAATCTGCAAGTAAATGTGAAATATTTTGTAATTTTATTTTTGTTAAGGCTGAAGTTCTTACAAAATAGTCTCTATAAAACTAAGAAAGATAAAAAGGAAATTTAAAAAATGTAGATTTATTTTAGAAATACAAATATGTATAATAAATATGATCATATTCATAATATGAAGAATATAATATAATATACATCTTATTTTAAATTCTGTGATTTATTTTAAATATATTTTCAAAATAATTAAGTAATTCTAGAATAAATATCAGTAATATTAATATAAATAAAAATAATAATAACAATAATAATGAATATTATTCTTGTAAGTTTTGTGATTCGCTTAAAATAAATTATGAAAATAACTCTACAATTCTAGGGCAAATATTTCTCTCAGTGCAGTCAATCAGGCGGACGGATATAACTCAAAATGGAAACAATAACGTAACACTGGAGCCGAAGGAGCAGCAAGAGCAGAAGCTGGATGTTGTTGGCAAGAAGTGAAGGAGTAATAAGGATAATGAAGCAGCAACAACGGCAGCATCTTGTGTCCTTCCACCCAGTGTTGGGCACTTGCCATGTAAACGATGATGAGCACGATAATGATGGCATTTGAATGGGCACACACACACACACATACACACACACACACACACCCAAATAGTGCTTATGTGTGTGTGCCAGAATATTGATGTCGTAATTGGAACGCTTACGTTTGCCATTTTCTCAATATTTGCACAACTATTGGCTCATTATTTGGCTTATTATATATTAATTTGCTTATTAATTATTTTAATGTTGCGATCTCAGGTTAATTTGTGAGAGTGACATTTGGGCACAGATTTCTTGCTTCTTTTCTTTTGTTTTTCTGTCAGTTATTAATGCGTTGCAATTAGCTGGCAATTTTACTTGGCCCAATTGAGCTGACGACTCATTTGGCCCATTCTCATTCCGAATATTTCCATTACAAACATAGATGATAGATATGTGCATACTATTGGGAGCAAGAAATAGTAGTCATATTTTCTTTTAGAATGAATTCTAACTAACATGGCTAAAAATTTAAAGAGTTTATTTAAAAATTTCGTGACATTTTCCTAAGTACCAAGCTAGCTCATGATTAGTTTTTGCACCAAGTAAAAATACTTAAATTGCATATTAATCAACTAATTATCTTATCATTATTCAATCCGCATATACATTCAAACTAGTCCAACTATCCAAAGAATTTCCCTTCTACTGTCTCACTTTATTGGCATCTCGTTGGTTTCTTGTTGGTCTGAGCCAGATACCAAAAGTAGTTTTGCCCCAGCTTCTGCATGCTGCATTATCTAGTTAGTTTTACAAGTTTTTGCCCCAAGATTACGAGCAAGCTGAATGCGTCTGAGAGCTGAGTTGAGCTGCTATTCATGAAAGTTTTGCATTGTTGTTGTTGGGCTGCTGCTGATTTTTGTTCCTCTTGTTACACTAATTTGCATGACCTTTGCCTGATCTGGGAGCGAACTAACCAGGTAACCAACTAACCAAGCAACCAGTCAACCAGCCAACCATCGAGGGAATGAACCAGTTACATAGATATAGCCCCAACAGAGCCACAACATTTGAATGGCATTTCATTTGCGATGCTTTTCAACGTTAATGCCATGGAAAATGCATAAATTGCGGCACTCAAGTGGATAACTTTTGCAGAAAAACAATGACAATTCCTTGGCTCTCAAGTTGAGGGGTGATTGAGAAGATACAGCTGGGGGGTGGGGGTATTGTTAGCCCGGCTAATTAGCAATTGCCAAGTTAAGCTGCAGCTTATCAGTGCACGAGCTGCACTTAAATGTGCTGCACTTTAACAGTTTCCGTTAAAATCACAAATGAAGGGGGAAAAACTCAATCGGTATTTATCTCGGCTCCTGCAAAAGCAAACTGTGTTCTGCGCTTCAGGCAGGTGTTGAAATTTAAGGTGAATTTGGTATCGTTGTGGGATACCTTTAAGCAAAGAATTTAAAGTGCTTACTGCACTTGATGTCATATTAACATTGATATTAGAGTACTATAGAGATTGTATAAGATATACAAATGGAACAAGTTCGAATACTGATATTAGTTTGTTCAATATGAAATTTGTAGATGATTTTAATTATACTTTTACTATATCATTTCGATAATTAAATGATTATTATTATTGGGGGACCTCATTAGATCTAATGTGTCAATCAATTCTGATTCTTGCACGAATTCATGAATTTTTGTGGGGTTGACTGTTTCTACGTCTTCCGAGCTTAAGATATGTTTCGATAGAAACTTATAAATAATGGCTAAATGTTTACAAACTTTAATTAAAATCAGAAATCTATTTATATCGATAATATGGAAGTCCAATCTCTGAAAGTCTCTAAGATCGTGTTGTTGATACAGACTGACAGACGGATATGGCTAAATCGACTCGACTGTTCACTTTTTAAGGGTGTTGCGTATAAACAAAATACCATCAGTAAGTGTCTAACTACTTGGTATACTCAAATGCCCTACATAAAGGCAACCCATTACATAATACATATTAAAAGTGATCTTATTGTTTTAATTTACATTTCGGATTCGAATTACGTGTTTGGCCAATCGAAATGCTCTCAAATTAAACACAAAATGGTGGAGCGAACATTTTAAGAAGTTTTGTGCAAGTCTGACTAGCCCCTCCCAGCCAAGCGGTTAGTCGGACAGTCGGACAGTCAGACACTCCAAGCATACACACAAGCACATTGGGCAAATGCCATTTGGCAATTTCAGTTTGGCTGTGTATCCATTTTGGGCGCACAGGAATAAAGCACTTGATATATCCATTTCGTTTGGAGGATTCTTCGCGTGCCAGTTAAGAGCTGCAGCAACAAAGCAATTGTTGCTCCTCTTGTTGTTGTAGTTGCTGTTGTTGTTGCTGTCGTTGTTGTTGTTGTTATTCTTGTTATTGTGTGGTACATGCGTGTGAACTGGCAGCCCAAGAACACACAATCCAACACAAACACCCAGAGAGAGAGCATACAAAATGTGGGGAATTGTTCATTTTGTACTCAACTTTTGGTTTTGCTGTGTGTTGTGCGCTTTGTGTTTATTTATTTAAGTGTTATTTCGTTTTATTTTGCAAAATTGAGTTATAAACAAGTTTTGAAAATTGTTTAAATGGAAAAAACAGATTGAATATCCTGTGTGCTCCTCTCCCCCCAAGCAAACACTCACAAAAATAAGGGTTATGATATCTAAATTAAAAGTTGGCTAACATTTCAAAATTACCTTTACTATGAACACATATTAAACTTAATTTCTGAAAGAAAAAAATGAAGTAAAATTCATATCTTTCATAGATTTAGCAGAAATTAGATAAATGTGTACATATTAGAAATTTTAAGTAGGTGTTAGCTAATTTCAATAATAGATATTTTTTCATGTTTATAATGCGATTATAGTTTGAGGGTATTTTACATGTTGTGGGTCCGACATTTTTTCCTGAGTGTAACCAGCAACAGCGAGTGGCAGCCACTTGAGCACATGTCAAGTGGAAAATCGTTTTGTTGCTTTTCTCTGCGACCCCCAAACGCCAACCGCCTGGCTCATATTGTAAATGTGCGGGCGCTATGAATATGTTTTTGATAAAGTTTATTTATATATGCAAATCGCATAATGCTCACATATGC